TTGACAACCAAAGACCCATTACCGGAACCCACCTGCTGCTGCTGCTGCTGTTGCTGGTGGTGGTGGGGGTCGATTAGGGTTCCGTTGCAGTCCACGGAGGTCGTCGACATTTAGGCCGGAAACGGAAGAAAAACACAGCCGGAAGCGGAGGAGAAAATGGCGGATGGGGGAGGATTGGGAGGAGGAGGAGGAAGAAAAAGATGGTGGGGGGGAACAGAGGGCTAATGATTGAGCGGCAGGAGCTGGTGGAGACAGGAGGGATGGCACATGGGCGGTGGGGGCCAATTCTTTGTACAACGCCACTCACGCACAGCTCATCATCTTCTTCACCGAGTAAGTAGTAGTAAGGCTAATGACTGTCATCATCTTTTCTCTCATCATGGTGAGGAAGGGAAGAGATTTCAAGGAGATGATAAGAGGTTAGCAACATTTAATAAGAGGAGAGCCTCATTACCAAACAAAGTGTTGTGAACCACAAATGGCGTTTAGTAGATGTGAGGCCCACCCAATAATAACTCTTTGGGGTTTGTAAGGAGTATACCAAGTCACTAACATTTGTTAGTGACATTATATGACATTATATCTAAGTGTATAAATAATTATTGTCTGTGTGTGACAAATATGATATACATTGTGAAATTTGTACTAAATAGTATTAAAATGTATAGAAAACTATTTACGGATGACGTGAGTTTTATCGAAATAACTTGTAGATCTCTCTATTTTTAAGAAGACAACGTGGGTCCTTACATTTTGTTGTAATGACTGGGATGTGACATTCTATCCAATTTCATTAATAAATGTATTTTTCTTATTTTTTCCTTAATATTTTATGGTAATAATTCTGAGTTCGCTCCTTTTTTTATTTCTTTGTTTTTCTTTTTTTGTTACTCTTTTTAAAGTGTTTTTTAGAATTTTTTCTATAAAATCGTATGAAAATTAAAAATTGTTTGTATGATATAAAAATAAATGAAATAAAAAACTTTCTAAAAAAGAAAAAACTGAGTAAAATTAAAAAATTGAAAAATAACAAAACAAATTCTTTAGAAACTCTTCAAGATTCTTTTTTTAATACTCCCTCCGTCCTAAAACTTTCTTCTCAGTTTGACTTTTCCCTATTTTTAATTTTTGGCTTTGACTTCAAATTTTACCCTCCTTAAAAAAGATTTTTTTGAAATTTTTTTTGCAATCATTCAAAATATAGAGTTAGTAGATAATTGGTGTAAATACATGAGAGTATTAATGTTATTTGTCATTTTTTTTTCCTAATGGGAAGGTAGTTTTAGGACGGAGAAAAAAGGGAAGTTGGAAGAAAGTTTTAGGACGGATGGAGTACTTTGTATGGAATATTAAAAAAGAGATCTAATTTTCTTTTTTGATAAGGTCCTTATTTCATTTATTTTTATATCATGCAAAATTAAAAATTTTGAAACTATTTTCTAGAAAGAAACTTTTTTAAAAAATATTTATGAAAAAGGAAATAAAGTGAAAAGGAGAGACAAAAAAAGAAATTAAACAAATAGACTAAAGTGAGGAACCTAAAAGTTATTATCATAAAATGGTAATGGCAAAATAGGAAAAATGCATTTATTAATGCAATGTTTATGGATGGAGTATGTGATGAAATGTCCCCTCCCATTGCTCCCAATCATTACAATAAAATGTAAGAACCTCTGTTGTCTGTTGAAAATAGAAGGAAGGACCTGAGAGTTATTTCGACAAAACTCACATCACCCATAAGTAATTTTCTATTAAAACATATGCTCTTTCCCAATATAGTACTTAAATTTTTTTATTTCTAAAATAATACTTGAATAATGTCTAGTGGCGGAAACAATGTCCAATGATGGTAGATATTTAGTTTGAACAATGTCCAGTGGCAGTGGACATTTACCTAAACAATGACCAGTGGTACTATATTGGAAAATAAAAACATATCGTACTATATTTGGGAAAAGTCACTATGTTTTTGATGGTGTAAATTAACCACCTAGATAATCTTTACTAGACCGAGTCTAGGATAATTTGCTGAGTTTGGAGAATGAAAGATGCAGAAAATATAGAGTGACTGATAGGATTGTAGGTGGAAACACATGTAGTCCAAATGTTATTAAGTATGTAAGAGAGTACTAGAAGGTATTACAAAGGTATTTATACTGAAATGGAGGGGACAGAGCACCGCACGTCCATATCAGCCCACGTTTTCAGACGACACGAGGTGACTTCCTCTTGTCTCGTAGCACTTTGTCATATTCCCTCGTCATCTTGTGCTGATGATACCTCTTTTGGTGCATAGCGCCCAGCTGAAAATGTTGGAATATTCTTGTGATCTTTTGTTGAAAATTGGTCACTACTGTCTAACCAACTTTGGAGTTATTCATGCTGACCTTTTCACACAGTAGTAACCTACCCGGTAGGTTTACCTCTCTTCTGCGTTCTGAATGGGAAAAAGATCACAAGCTTGAAGTCACGTACTCTGACAGGTAGGTCTATATTTTGTACCGGTCAACTTTTTCGAATCCAAACAGTAGTCTATTTCAAGTTCAAATCTTCCATTCTGATATATTTGAATCTGACCGATCAGCTTTTGCGGACCTAGATTTGGACCGGGTCGTGGGTGGAATACACCCATCAATAAGCCCTCAACTTCTCGGCCTTGTAAATTTATCAAGGGAGGGAAGTGACAAATTGGAATCGGGTGCTTGAAATTTGAATTTTAAACTTTTCCCGTCTAGATTTTTGAATTTGAATTTTAAAAATCAACATTTCGACACGTGTCACGCTCTTCCCGTACGCCATCATTGCGCTCTACCTGTTGTTTCGCCTTCTCATGTGCCACGCGTGTGCCGGCTGACGCGTCGCTTCCTCTACCTGCCATGTGTCGCGCTATCCTCCGCCTCCCTCGCCTATATAAAGGCTTCTCCTCCCTCCTTCAGTTCACTTTTCACAAATCCGCTTTCGAATTCTTCCTAATCAAATTCTTCCTCAGCCCTTCGAGTCTTCTAACTTCCAAGTAAGTTTCAGGTTCTTCATCGCTTTCCATTACCAGTTATGTCTTCTGAGGATAGCCAAAACGTTTCATTTACCTCGTATGCATCTGTATCCGAGGATTCCATCTCGTCCTCTTCTTCCTCTTCTTCATCTTATTCTTCGTCTCTATACCAGGAGGGGTCGGTTCCCGAGGGTGTTCCAATTCCTAATCTCGCTCCTATAATGTTAGGGAAATCCCCACGGTTGTTTCAAAAGTCACCCTAAATAAAGCGCGTTGGTTGCTCCCTGAGGGTTATATTCTCCATTATAACCCTAACTGGCCCAACATCATTGACCCACACCAGGGAACTAGGGTAGGGTTTCACATTAAATCCCTAAAGGGTGGCATAGTTGACGAGAATTTTAGTGGTAGTAAATTTACCTATAAAAGAGTTCAATTTATTCTCGTGTCGTATTCACAAAGATTGACAAGTTAATAAACCTTAATAATTGCTATTGGAAGTTTTCTAATTTTGAAAAGTTTGAGTTTGATTGCACAGTATAACAAATTGATTGAGTTGATAAGAAAGAATATGAATTGATTTCCGGTAGTAGGCATTTTCCAATTAATTTAACTAGTTAGATTATGGATGAAGATGGCGAACCCTAATTTGCAGAAGATGAAGATGCCATGGTTGGGATTGATTGTGGATGAAGATGAAATGCGTGGTCGAGATTTACTGCCTTAGATGGATGCGATGAAGTTGTGATTATGTAACTTTAATAAATTAAACTCCTAGATTATATTTTCTAAATTTAAAGGAAATAAACCCCTTCTTACATGAGAATGAGCACTACATTATTTGAAAATGAGCACTACTTTATTTTAGAATGAACACTACGTTACTCGTAAATAAATATTATAATTATATTGAACAAATGTATGAAAATGAGTACTGCATTAATTCAGAACGAGTACTATGTTATTTCAGTACTACTACTACGTTGTTTCAAAATGAACACTTATTTTTTGTGTGTGAATGAATACTACTTACTTCAAAATGAGTACTACCCAGTGGTACCTTACTTCTGATACACCCGGTTGTACCATATACGGACTCCGATATTTGTATGTGTGCCAAATTGAAAGTGAAAAAGACTCCAAATGAAAGAAGTATGTGGGAATGATGTTTTAAATTAAAGTTAACCTTTTCGGTAATTTTGTAATTATTCAGATTTACTTTAGATAAAAATATAAACTTTGCATCATTGGGGCTTCAAACCTACCACCTTGACCCCCCCTAGTGTAACCACTTAAGCTACTACAACAATTATTATAGGAGCCATATAACAAGTAATGGAACATGTGGTTTTTTTTATATCTAAACCCGTAAACCGATCGACTAGTCCAGCGGGTCACTGTTTCGCTCATCGGCCGATCTGACCCGATTTTAATTCCATTGGCTAAAATATATTTTAGTAAAAATTCGTCCAAATCTGGCGATTCCTAGAGTGATATAAAAGTCTAGTTTCTATTACTTTTCTATAAAAAAAACTGTGTATCCTTGGGATCAAACCTACACCCTTGACCCCATAACAAATAGGCACATGTATCAATAAGTTGACCCGATTCAACCCATTAACCTTTGACCCACTTAGTTATTTGATTTTATTTCTAATCTAATTTTAGAACATTGGTTTTATTGTTGAACTAGACCAGAATAACCTGATTAGGGATGACAGCGAGTCAGGTTCGGATCAGGTAGTACTATACCCGAATCCGTCCCAACTTTTAAATCCAGAAGCGAACCCGAGCCCGACTTTTAAACTCGAAACCAAAATTTAACCAATAACAAATTTTAAACCACACTTTTATATTAACAAAACATCTAAATCAAATCGGACCATAATTTTAACAAATTAAATTGCTACATTTGCATATACAAAAATGAGAAAATATAAAAAAAGTTATACAAAAGGTCATGATTAAGAAGATAAACAAGGTAAATAAACAATCGGTAAAGGAGTAGCGAGATGTAAGCAAGAAAGACAGATGCGGCTGAGTGTTGAAAAAACGAGAAGTGGTGAAATGGGAGAGTGTATGTAATATATTAAATTATATGCATTACTATGTAGAGGCATATATAAGATTTTTTTAGTCTTAAATAATTGGGTTCAAGTCAGGTTAGTGTTGAGTCGGGTAAAATATCGAACCCGAACATGATCCGACTGTGTCAGATTCAGGTTTGAAATTTTTGGATCGGGTTTGGATTTTTAAATTCTCAATTTGGGTTGGAATATTTTAGTGTTCGATTAGATTGATTACAGTTGAATTTGAGTTGAATTGCTGTCCCTAAATGTGATCCGTCCCAAGGTGGCCTTTGGCCCAATTTTAAGAACATTGGGTCCGAAGGGTCCTTTGGTTCAATCTGTTACGGCCTTACGGGGCCAGGAATATTAAAAAATAAAAATAGTACGGACTCGGGAGCATTGGAGTAGTAAGTAGGCTCCGTACCGTTTCTGAATTCGGTTGGAGTTTGAATTTTAAAATTTGGCAAAAACACATAGAGAGTCATATGCAGCACAGCGGTATTTGCATTTCCCACTAAAACGTTTTTTTAAAGCTTGAACAGACATAAAAATAAAAATAAAACATTATAAAAATAAAAAAGAAGAAGAAAAAGATCACCATAGCAGTATGTATGTCTACTGCACTAGCAAAGCAGAAGTGCAAAATCTCTTCTTTGTGAACTTTCTTGTGCTTTCTTCCAAGTTCTCCCTCTCTCTAGCATTGCGCAGGACTGGGTAGTAGGGTTCTACCCAGGCTGTGCATTCTTTTTCACTAAATCCCCGTTGAGCTATTGTTGGTCAAAAGTAAATGCATGTTTTGGAACCCATTTTGATCATATTTGCGGATCCAAAGAGATTGAAGTTCTGGGTATGCTTTACTCAAGCTAATCGAAGATCGAAAGCCCGGGTTGGAGTTTCGTTCTTAGAGTGTCATTACTTTTTACTTTTCTTTTTCCCAGATTTCTTGGACTTCTAGAAGAATCTGAATGTTCAAGATTTCCTGAGAATTGTGTAGTTTTCAGTCGAAGTTTGAGTGGTTTTGCTTTTGGTGTGGCTAATGGTATGGTTGATCAGTTAGGGGAGCCACTGCTCTGGGGCCTCTTCCTGTTGGTGGTTTCTGTATAGCAAGCTATTTGTGTATGGTATGCTCCTATCCATTGTGGGGCCTTGTAAAAAGTTCAATTCACTTTTTTCCCATCAAAAGAGGTGAAAAGATTTCAGCTTTTTGATCCAATTATTAGTGCCTGATCGTATTGAAGAATCTAGTTGAAGTTCAAGCATTCAGTTGAGAAGTTCTTTGTCATATCTCTTCAGTTCCAGAGCTGTGCCACTGGATGTTAGATTTGTGAAATCTGGGTCCTTAGAGAAATGTGATGAATAAAAAAAGTTATAGGATGGCATCAGCTGTGGTTGCAGATAATTTGGAATTCAGCACTGGGGTTGATGGCATTTCTAGTGATGAATCTCCTTACAGAAGTTTTAGCTTTCCTGCAGAGGAAAGCCATCCTGCAATTGATGATGGTCTGAATGTGACTGTAATCCCTTCACCATCTGTTGCCCCAAGTGGCATTGACTCAAACTGGATTGATACCAAGTTAGCATCCAAGAAGGTAACCTCTTAATATTGGATTTATCTATCTTCCATTTAGTTGGTTCTCGTCATGTATCTTGTTCGTCATGTTACTATTAGTAGTATATAGTCACCCGATGCAGTTTGAGGCCAATATATGATATTTTTGTACCTAATACTTCATGCTTTATGTTATTGATTGAATGAAACTGTTAGATAGCTTCTGTATTTGCGGTCATAGAATCTTGAAGAACATGTACAGTGCAAAAGTGAAACACAAGATTTTGTCCTTTGAGGAACAACATTTGTTTCACAAAAAAAAAAGATTCTAGTACATGATTCTTCAGGTGGATAAATAGAGAAAGTATAGAGATCTCTCTAAAGTGATGAATATTTGGCTTATTCTTAGAGATTATGCTACTCTCAAGTCTCAATTCTTTCTATTATATTAATTACGCAGAACTGCAAAACTTCTGGTATGGAAATTTTTATTCATAGATTAGCAGGATATACTAGGCTCTATGAATTGATTATCATGCGTTTTTCCATGTAAACTATGTGTTGAGATAATGTTTTGTGTTTTCTCCATCTATGTTCTGATTTCCCTCATGGAAAGTCTCTTTATTTTTTTGGTTACTATATGAAAATAATTCTACACGAGAATTCATCTGTACATTTTTAAGTGCTAAAGGTGAAAATTAGTATAGTGATTACTCATGTACTTTCATTCCACCATCTTTTTTCAATCAATTCTATGTAATGATATGTCATTTATTTTTATTCAATGATCTCCTCCTGTGCAATTGATTATTACTTTCTCCCTCCGGAATTACTTGTCCTCTTTCTTAAAAATCTCTTTTTTTAAGAAATGAGTTTAAGATACCAAATTAATTCTTCAAATGAGTTTATTACTCACTCATCTCAACAATGTTCATTACCTATGTTTAGGATATTTAGACTACTCGACATATTTTCTCTATTGAATATGGAAGTTGACAACTAATTTTGGACAAACGAAATAAGAAAGTGGACAACTAGTTTGGGACGGAGGGAGTATTAGATAATAAACAAAACATTTTATTTTGTACAACTGTTGCATTGATTGAACAAGGAAAACTAGGCAATGGAACTGTAGGACATAAACAATTTTACATGGTTCGAGACTTTGAAGGAAACTTTATAAAAAAAGTACATTCCTAGCAAAAGCCGTGACACTTTGATTTTCAGAGTGGTATCTAATTAAAGCATCTTTTCTGATGCATGCTTTACTGCAAGGCCACATATTTCTACCCGTAAAATGTAATGCGCTTTGATATGTAGTCTAGGTATATTTTCAGTCCAGATTATGTATCTGATTTGTTAAAGTATCGGAAGTTTAAGAGAAAAGTAATCGGTATATAAGCTCTTGAGTTGAACTAAGTAATCAATTAGATTCAATCTTTTAATGTAGTTCAACCCAAGTGTCTTATGGCTCAATCCAGTAACCCTTTCCCCATCCTAAATTCTATCACGATTCATATCTGGATGCAATTTATTTGTACTTCTATCGTCTATCCCAATGTTGAACTTTGATGAATGGCCACTACATATGCTATCTTTTGTGTTTTCTATATAAAGATGTCTTGCTGTCTGCTGTCATTGAGCACCACTTTTATTACTTTCTAGTAGTTTATCACTTTATTGTCTCTTTTACCAATCAAATAATGAAACAATTTTCTTATATCATGTTGCAAATTTGGATAATTAACTTCGTCTCTGGTTTTTTTTTGCGGTGAAATGGCCTTTTAATGATATTGTTTATTTGTAATTATATTTGCATAAGAGCTGATAATTTATCCATCTGCATTTGTGATCATCTTTGCACATTATTTTTCTGATTGTATCACCAATTTATTGAAGTTGTTCTTTTCAAAAGGTCCATTCGTGGTTACAATCTCCTGATGGAAGCTGGGAGTTGGTATCAAACTTATCCACCACCAAAACTGAGTCAGTCATATCATTCTCTAATCGACAAGTGAGTTCTTGTAGATAATGTTACATGTAAAGCAATTAGTTCAATTCATACTCTCTTTCTTTATATTGTTCTGCCTTTATTCCAGGTACAAAAAGTAAAATCTGAACATCTGCTACCTGCAAACCCGGGTATACTTGATGGGGTGGATGATCTAATGCAACTAAGTTATCTAAATGAGCCATCAGTTTTGTACAATCTCCAATATCGGTACAGTAGAGATATGATATATGTAAGCCTCTATTTGGGAGTTTTCTTTTAGTTTTGCTTGTGAAAAGCATGTTTGGCTCATAGATTAATCTATTTCCAGTCAAAAGCTGGACCTGTTCTTGTGGCAATTAATCCCTTCAAGAATGTTCCGCTGTATGGAAACGATTACATTGAAGCATATAAGCGTAAATCCTCTGAGAGCCCACATGTCTATGCCATCACTGATACAGCAATGAAGGAGATGATTCGAGGTACTCTATGGCTACATAGTAACTTTGCTGAAAATCATATTCAGTAATTAGATTTTCAAGGACTTCCTCAGTGATTAGCTTTAGAGAAATCTGACACATCATCTTCTCCTTATTGCAGATGAAGTAAACCAGTCTGTTATTATAAGGTTCGGATTTTAAATTATCTTAGTTATTACTATTATGTTAGTCTTATAAGAGTGATAACTGTTCTCTAAAGTCAAGATTAAATGTTCACAAAAGTGGATCTAATATTGAGTTTGTTTTGGAAGTTTTTTTTGGGGCGGAGGGTGTATTATTTTACTGCATATTGCAAGTGCTATTAATATACTTACATTTTGTTTTGGACAATTGTACTTTTGTATCCAGTGGAGAAAGTGGAGCAGGCAAGACCGAAACAGCAAAGATTGCAATGCAATACTTAGCTGCCCTTGGCGGTGGCAGTGGAATCGAGTATGAAATACTGAAAACAAATCCCATACTGGAGGCCTTTGGTAATGCAAAAACGCTTAGAAATGATAACTCAAGTCGATTTGTAAGTTTAAGTTGATATTCCTTTATAAATCCCTTTTCTCGTATAAAAATAATTGAAGCTAATGATAATTTGTGCAAGTTCCGATGTCCTATTTCTAGAGTATGATAATTTAGAAACATATTGACAGGGAAAACTGATCGAAATACATTTTAGTAAGACTGGAAAGATCTCTGGTGCAAATATTCAAACTTGTAAGCATCTTGTTTAGCATTTTCTGATGTATAATTGTGTATGCTATTTAATTTCAATGAAGACTAACACCAGCATTAATATTTAATTTTTTTTTCTCTGTGTCTGCCCTGGAATTCGGCCCTTAACCATCAAAGTTCTACTTGAGAAGGTATATTTCTATTATACGTGCCTCAATATCCATTCATTTTTCTGTTTCTCATATGATCTTCATTAAATTTTTGCTTGCAGTCGAGAGTTGTTCAGTGCACCAAGGGGGAAAGGTCCTATCATATCTTTTATAATCTCTGTTCAGGAGCTCCACCTGCACTAAGAGGTAAGAATCTCACAAATCATATTCTTTTAATGGGATGTTCACTGCATAACTTGAAAACCAAACATTACTTATGTCTGTCAAAAGTGTTGTGTGTGTGTCGACAGAAGTGTGTAACATATTTGATTAGTAAGCGTTTATCAATTGTTATTACTTACATTGGTTTAGGCTGTGTAATTTGTAGCATGGTTATACACCTGAACAGTCCATGCACTCCTCAGGTTAGGGGTTTTAGGGTGGAAGGGGGGACTATAAGAATTAAAGATGCATGGTGATAAGTCAAGGAAAAATTATATTGGGTTTTGATGTAAATTTATTATTAATAGGTTCATTTTGGAACACAGTTTTGAAATATCATATTTTTATAGTATATGTTTAAATATACATAAAGATATTAATGGTCAAAATAGTGCTCTGGAGACTGAAAAAGTATAATGGAAGAAAATTATGGGACGGAGGACTATAGAATATAAATGTGAAAGAAATACAAGAAAGAAGGAAGAGTCTTGATACAGAAATCCCAAGATCCAGCCACATTTATCTTCTTTATCTTTCCCAAGATCCAACTTTTTCTAATAAAGACAGTCTTATTAAATCGTCGCTTCAATCTCAATGGTATATTTCAATCACATTGTAACTTGTGCTCCTTTAGTTCAGCCAAACGACCAGTTTTGGGTCCAGGTCTAATATGTTCCCGATTTAATCTGGGTTTGAACACATATAGTTCGATTCTGGTTTAAATCGGGTCATCTTGGATTTTTGGTTCTAGATCAGGTCTTTAGTTATCAGGCCATTTTAGATTCGGTTTCGGGCTATTCGGTTTAGCAAATCGGTTCTGGGTCTAGTTTGCCAGGTCTGTGGTATCCCATACGTCAAAGGACCCTATCTTGTATATTCAAGTTAACTCATCATAATGGCTGCAAATAAGAATGACCTTAGACTCTTAGTGTTGGTCCTTGGTGCAAACTTAACGTGCAAATCTTTTGTTACCTCTCCACAAGTTCTTTTTTCGTATTGTCTCAGTAGTCTGTGCATATATGAATCATGGACCTCTCTTCTTTAAACAATGCAAGAAACAATACCCTAATGATAATTTTTCCCATCCAATTTTACCCCTCCTTTTCCCCAGCAGATAGTTTTTGGTCACCATAATTTTCATATGCTTTGTGGAACATTGATTCGTCCGTTGCAAATGGAGCTAAAAGAGTCATTGGACAATTTTTTTAGCTTGGCGTGAATAATAGACCAATTTAAGATGGCACATTAAATTCCTTGCTTCTTATAAATGCAGCAATGCATCAAGGGTCTAACAGAAATAGCCAATCATAGTTAGAGCGTTTTCTTCTCTACTCTACAACCATGTACCTATATTTTTGGTTGAATATGAATTCCTTCACTTTTCATTCTTCTCTGTTTCTGCAGAAAAGTTAAATTTGAAGCATGTAGATGATTATAATTATTTGAGACAAAGCAATTGCTACTCAATTTCTGGGGTTGATGATGCCAAACAATTTCAGTTTGTCACAGTAAATTTCTTAGTCTATTGTAAACTTTTGCCGCAATGTATTTCCATGTTTTTTCCATGGGAATGAAAAGTTTATATCCAGAGGCTAAACTTTCTATTTATGTTTTAGGAAGCTTTAGATGTTGTCCATGTTAGCAAAGAGGACCAGGAGAGTGTATTCTCAATGCTAGCGGCAGTATTGTGGCTTGGGAATGTTTCCTTTACAGTTATCGACAGTGAGAACCATGTTGAACCTGTTGACGATGAAGGTAACATTTTTTTAGAGGTTTAAGAGTCATGAGTTGCGAGAAGAACTTCATGGGCTTATCAAAAGTGCAAAACACTTCTATAGTATCAGTTATGTTTGAGCCAATGTTTTATTTCATAACTGCAGATGAAAACATTTTAATGCAGGTATAGAAAAGTAGCTTTTTTATGTACTTTGAAAATTCGATTTTAACTTTTATGCTCTATTTTTTTCCAGGTCTGTCAACCGTTGCAAAATTACTGGGGTGTGAGCTTGAGGCATTAAAAGTAGCTTTATCAACACGAACTATGCGAGTTGGAAAAGATAACATAATTCAAAAGCTGACTTTATCTCAGGCATGGATAGAGTTACATTCTAACTAGTTTTTTTTTTGTGGGAAATTGGAAGTTGGAACTCTTTTAGACATTATATGTACTGGGAGACTAATTACTTATTGAACCTTATGTTTCCATCAATTCAGGCTATTGACACAAGAGATGCATTGTCAAAATCAATTTATTCGTGCTTATTTGACTGGTTGGTTGAAAAAATAAACAAGTCACTTGCAGTTGGAAAACGCCTTACTGGAAGATCTATTAGCATCCTCGATATTTATGGTTTTGAATCATTTGAGGTATGACCTGTTTGATTATTTATTTCGGTTATTTATTGTTTGTCCCGCCATTACACTTCACTTGCCTTTGCATTGCAGAGGAATAGCTTTGAGCAGTTCTGTATTAATTATGCCAATGAAAGATTGCAGCAGCACTTCAACCGCCACTTATTCAAGTTGGAGCAAGAGGTGACTCCCGTTTATCTTATATTATTATAGCTCCATTCAAGTCTGACATTAATGGCCAATAGCATTCTCATTTTTACTTTTTTGATACATTGAAGGATGAATGAATGAAGACATGCTTTAAGTCAAAGTTCATCCATTTTTCAATGTATCAAGAAAGTGTTAATAGATAGTTAATATGGAATGGAGGGAGTATGTCCTTATCTATAATCTACATCAGGCGAGCGGCTCCTATCTATTTACTTTTCTTCAAGATATGGTGAGAACTATATTAATCTACTTGTGTGGAGTACATCAATGGGAGATGCGAGGGAAATTGGATTAAAAGCCAACACCAAATGTTTTGGAGAAGCTTTTGGCTATCAATAATCTAAGCTCAAACCAACATTATAGTTTCTACTCCCTCCATTTGTGGGCCCGTTTTTATTATCTTATTTCATAGGATCTGAACTGATGAACTCGACCCTTTGCATTTCCATAAGTAATAAAGTATAATCAGTTCTCTAATTTGTTCTTGTTGACATTTTGGTTCAGAACAAATCCTGAACAATCAATCAGAATGTATTATATGGATACTAAATGCAAGAACTTATTCGGTTTTGCATTTCAGTATGTTTCTATATGTGTTGGACCCCTTTAGGTTATCTTGAGTGATCATACCTTGCATGTCAGATTGTCCGTCTTTGGATTTCACTAACTTTGGTATATGGCACTCAATTTGGCTCATTGTGGCATAAGAATAAAATGTGCTGATTCATTTAGTTTTATTGAGGCATGTGAGAGCACATGACATGAAGGGAAATCTAGAGTTGTTTAACATAGTAAAAGTCAAACCTGTGAGAAGTGAGAACTATTATAAAAAGTGGTATCATGTACTAAAAAGTAACAAGTTCTTATTACACTTCTAAGAGTTCACACGTCTTTGCATTCCAGTACGAGTTTGAGGAACTTTGGTCTGCTCTTTTACATACTCCATTAGTCATACCAACTGTGCACTAAGATATGTTTTTTCAGGAATACATCCAAGATGGCATTGATTGGACGAAAGTTGATTTTGATGACAACAAGGATTGCCTAAATCTATTTGAGAAGGTACGAAATCACTTACACTATGTTTGGTTCAAGGAATTTGAAAGGGAAAAGAAAAGAAAATTAGAGAGAAAACAATTTTTTATGTTTGGTTGGAGAGGAAAAGAAAAGAAAAATGGAAGAAAGAGAAAATAAGAAGACAAATTGTACTAAGATGACGAAAAATCAAATTCCTCCCACTTTGGTGAGGAAAATGAGAGAAAATCTTTTTTTCTCTTTTCCTTCCAAATTCCTTGAACCAAACATAGTGTTAGTTGAAAATTTGTTCACATTGTTTGTTGAAAATAATGTGTGTGTGTGTGGTGTGGTGTGGTGGGGGAGGGGGGGGGGGTCAAAGCATATATTAACTGANATTTTTTCATTACAGATTTGAGCTATTAAAATAACATTGTCACCAAATATTCATGTTTTATAAACAATCTCATATAACTTAGTCCATTCCCATTTCTGCATTGAATAAACCAATTCATATTTTCTTTTTTAGTATGAGCAATATTTTTGGAATTCTACTTAGATCAATATTATGGGAAAACATCAATTTTACTATTGTTTACACACTCACCTTTCTCTCTCTTGACATTCTGAAATGATTTGTGACGCAGTTGACCACATGAGGCACACTTTTAGAAAATGCATTTCATTCTACTTGTTTTCATTAAAAACAATGTGGGGTTCTAATGGGTTATTGTCATTAAAAACAATGTTAGAAGTAAAATGCCCTTATAATTTGGGATGGATAATTGGAGGGAGTCCAAATAAATTAGTAATACGCAAATTAATACACCAGGTAATACTGCCCCTTGCCCCTCAACCCCTGGGGCAAGGGGTAGGGGGCACGGGGGTAGGAACCATCAATTTTTTGAATGGAGCAGCGTAGGAGGCCCAGGTCCATGACCAATTAATGAGAGTTCTCATGTTTTTTGTTAGATGTGATTCATATAAGTTGTGTAATGAAATGTGTGGTATGCAGTTTGTCTCTTGTAACTTTTTTTGTTCCCATGGACATTTGACAGAAACCACTTGGATTGTTAACCCTTTTAGACGAGGAGTCCACCTTCCCAAATGGCACAGACATGACCTTTGCCAATAAACTCAAGAAGCATTTGAGTTCCAATCCTTGCTTCAAAGGTGACCGTGAGAAGTCTTTTACTGTATGCCACTATGCAGGCGAGGTATGCATGTCCTTGCATTTTTGGGAGAATATCGGAACTGCTTGATAAAACTTTCAGTATTATATCTTTCTGTTTTCTTCTTCAATCTGAAACTTCTGCTTTCCTCTTTGCCAGGTAACCTATGATGCATGCGGCTTTCTTGAGAAGAACCGTGATTTACTCCACTTGGATTCCATTCAACTTCTGGCTTCTTGCAAGTACCGCCTACCACAGATGTTTGCATCCATTATGTCAACTCAGAGTGAGAAGCCTGTCATAGGCCCCTTGTATAAATCAGGGGGAGCAGATTCTCAGAAATTAAGTGTTGCCACAAAGTTTAAGGTAATATTACTCCCTCCTTCCATAAATTTACTTCCCCCTTTCCTTCTTCGTCCATCCAAAATTGTCCCGTTTCTTTTTTTGGCAAATCTTTTATCCTAAAAAGACATTTCTACCCCTTTCGACTATTACCCACCCATCACCCACTATGCCCCATTTAACTTTTGTGATGTGATGGAATTTATTTTTGGATTTACTTTCCCCCTTATTTTTCATTCCTTTATCATTATCTATCACATCTCCTCTATTCATTTTACACTTTTAGTTCATCCACTTTCTATAAATATTAAAGGGCAAAAAGGGAAAGTCGAAGCAATATTTACTTTCTCCTAAATATGATGTAAAGTCAATATGGGAAGTAAATTAGTGGAGGAAGGGAGAACATTGTAACCAAACATGTCATTGATTTCTTAAGATTGGCTCTTTCAAGTATTGCTTACTGCTTAGTATTCAGTTGTGTGAAAATAGCCATAGACCCATAGATTCTACAAAGTGTTTAGATCATTGATCTTATAGGTGCATAAATAATTAGTGTAATCATCGTATCTTAATTCCAAATTCATTAACAGCGCAAATAAACTCTTCCTTTTAGTTAAAGTTTGTAGGGATCTTGCAGAGAGAAATACAATTGGTATTGCATTCAAATTTTGCTTGAACTTTTTCTTATAGGGTCAACTATTCCAATTAATGCAACGCCTGGAGAGCACGGCACCACATTTCATACGTTGCATAAAGCCTAACAGCTCCCAATCTCCTGGGGGGTTTGATCAAGGACTCGTATTGCAGCAGCTACGTTGTTGCGGTGTCTTAGAAGTAGTTCGAATATCTAGGTCAGGGTACCCTACCAGAGTGTCCCATCAAAAGTTTGCTAGAAGGTACATTTGATAGATATTAGTTTCAAGATGAACCAATTTCCCAGCTCTATATTTATAAAAACTATGCACATTGACTACTTTTTCCTAACTATCTTAATCAATGAATATTACCCTTTCCCCAAGACAAACATAAATGAGAGCAGCTATTTAGTGAGGACATTTTAGACAAAGTACTAAAGTTTTGATTAATTTTTCATTTCCAAAACCTTTTCTTTAACTGCATAAATTGGTCAACCTAGACAGATAAAAAGGAATAGATGGAGTATGAAGTTTTGGTTATTAATGTTTTTATTAAAATCCTTTCAGATACGGATTTCTTCTACTGGAACATGCTGCATCACAAGATCCACTCAGCGTCTCGGTTTCCATACTCCATCAGTTCAAAATTCTGCCTGATATGTATCAGGTTGGATATACCAAACTGTTCTTCCGAACTGGGCAGGTGAGCTAAGTAGTGAAACCTATCTTGTTTGATGACACACGAAAGTTTTTGCTATTCCATTTTATCAACATCCCCTTGGATCGCTACGTTTTAGGTTGGGGTGCTTGAAGATACAAGAAATCGCACCCTCCACGGGATCTTACGTGTTCAAAGCTGCTTTAGAGGTCATCGAGCTCGTGATTACCTGAAACACTTGAAGAGAGGAATCACAACTCTTCAGTCATGTACGTTTGTGTTAGAGTATAAAAACCTTTCCTGGGCCACAAGCTTGAAGCCTTGAACTTTTGGTTGAGTTGGTTCCTTGACATGGTATCAGAGCCTTGTTTCCCGTGCAAGACTCCACAACCTCAAGCTTTAGCTTTTGGTTGAGTTGGTTTCTTGACAATCTGCATGCACATGCACGTGAATATTAGTAGAGCGATTCTACATCTATTCAGAACATGTTGAAACTTTATTTTGGTGGATTAGGACCTAATGTTTCGCAACATCTTCTGCACAGTTGTTCGAGGTGAGAAAACTAGAAGAGAATATGCAATCTCGCTACAGAGTTACAAAGCCGCTGTTTGCATACAGAAACAGATGAAGGAGCGAATTCGCAGGAGGGCATACAGAAATGTCCAAAGGGCATCAATCATCATACAATCAGGTAATTTGCATTTCAAGATTAGAGCTGTTAATTTGTATCCAAATCCACAATTCAATGATCCATCTAGACGAACACATTCCATATAGGTTGGCTTGGGTCTACTCCTTTTGTTATATGGTGAGATGAATAAATAAAAACATGCTTGAACATGAAACCATGAAGATATGTATCGTTGCAGACACATATGAAATTATTAGAATTGACTTGTATATTTACATTTTGTAACAATTAAGATATATATTCGAGTTATTTCTTCTATTTTCAAATTTCCAGCTGTGCGTGGGTGCCTTGTCAGAAGATGTTCTGCTGATATAGGGCTGCTGCTACAGGCTGGAGACAAGAAGGTAGTTGTGGAATTTAAGTTTCTTTTCCCCTTGCATTTGAAAAATTGTTGTTCTATACTGATCTGCTGGGCTCTCAAATGATTCGTCTCTGTGTTATATTGATATAGTGAAGTACATCTTACTTATCTGAAAGAAAAGTAGATGAATTATGGACCATACTATCCAAAACTCTATAGGAAGTACGACACACAAGTTTAATGTGTCATTGTGATTTAGCCCATTATATTTACCCTAGGCTAAAACATTTCAATAATGACTCTTTTAGCTCCATTGGCAATGGATGCCAAAAATAACATCTGGGTTTTTCTTGTAATCGTTGCTGGTTTTAGTTTCAAAAATTGAGATCTCTTCTTGGTTTCCTAAACAGGGTAATAATGAGTGTGAAGAGGTACCAGTGAAGTCCTCATTTCTAGGCGAGTTACAGCTCCGTGTTCTGAAAGCCGAAGCTGCACTCAGAGAAAAAGAAGAGGAGAACGACATACTCCAGCAGCGGCTCCAGCAGTACGAAAACCGCTGGTCAGAGTACGAGTTGAAGATGAAGTCCATGGAAGAGGTGTGGCAAAAACAGATGAGGTCCCTACAGTCCAGCCTCTCCATAGCCAAAAACACCCTTTCTCTGGACAACTCTGCAAGGAACTCTGATGCATCCGTGAGTGGAAACGAAGACAGTAGAGGATCAACTTGGGACAGCAATGGTGGAGTACAAGTGAGGCCTATGAGTGCTGGCCTAAGCGTGATAGGCCGTTTGGCCGAAGAGTTTGAGCAAAGGAGCCAAGTGTTTGGGGACGATGCCAAGTTCTTAGTGGAAGTGAAATCAGGCCAGGTTGAGGCTAACAATGTCAACCCCGAACGCGAGCTTAGACGGTTGAAACAGTTATTTGAGGCCTGGAAGAAGGACTACGGGACCAGGCTAAGGGAAACAAAGGTTATTCTGCATAAGCTGGGGAACGACGAGGTGCTTATTTGCGACAAAATGAAGAAGAAATGGTGGGGAAAGAGGAACAGCAGCATTTCAAGGCTAGGCTGAACTGATTGGGTTATCTATCAAAAACTTGATGTTTGAATTTCAAGGCAAGAAAACTGCTTGGAGCCGGATGCGATTACCCGAACCCGAATAACATTATGCCAAACTCCAAATGACCCGAAAATCGAACACTTGATCTACAGTTCAATTGCAGGTGTTGATGATATTGCAGGAGAATACAACGTTAGTGATGAAAATTATTGGTAATGACATCGGAATCATGTCATTGATTTTAGCCAAAAATATTTATTAAAAATTTTGTTGACATTGTCTACTCTTGTACATTGCAAGAAGTTACTCCTCCCATCGGCCACTAGATATTTTCAAATGACTTTTTGTGGCTTTTGAGAAGATTTGAGAAAATGTAAAAGTTTATTAAAATATCATTAATGAATGGTGAATTATATGAAATGAGATGCGTGAAGTGTAATATACTCCGTATAAAGTAAGTGAGAATAGTTATACTATTTTAAATACTCCCTCCATCCATTTTTAATGTTCGTACTTTCCTTTTTAGTCTGTCCATAAATAATGTTCGTATTTCCTTTTTTGGTAATCTTTTTTATATCAACAGACCTAATTACCTTTACTTTATTTCTATCCTTCTTTTTTTTTCTTTTCCTCCACCTTCCACCCCAGTCCCACCAAACCTCTTTTTTTCTTCTTTTTTCTTCTTTCCTTCTCCACTTTGGTCCTTTTTTTTTGCTCTGTACCAGATTTCTTCCTCTTCTCTCTCTTCCCTTCTTCTTTTCTCTTCTCTTCTTCCTTCTTCTTCGGATTCTTGTTCTTCTTTGGATTCTTCTTCTTATTCTTCATATTCTTCTTCTTCGGATTCTCTGTCTTCTCCTTCGGATTCTTCATTTTCTTCTTCGGATTCTTCATTTTCTTCTTTGGATTATTTGAATTTGGCCCAGGTCTATGAAATATAATTCAGATATGTGAAAGATCTTCTTCAAGTCTTCTTCATCTTTTTTTCCATCCTTTTCTGCGATGGATCGCCGGAACCTGTGATTTTGGATGATAGGGTTGGGCGGCGGGGCTATGCCGGCGATGGAAGATGTCAGATCAGACATTGAGGGAGTGGGTGACCGTAGAGTGGAGCAGGAAAGTGGGGAGGGCATAATTGGAAAGTCAATGTAAAATTTAATCTTTATTAATCTTCATGCCAAGTCAAAGTCCGAACGTTAAAAATGGACGGAGGGAGTATTCAAAAAGGTAATGAGAATATTTTTCTAGGACGAACAAAAAAGACATTTTAAAAAATCTATAGTAGACGCACATCACATCTTGTTTTATATGAATTTTTATGAGGTTTTAAGTATGCCAACTTTATTCTTTAAAATTTTACATCGATATGAAGTAAATTAAAGCTTAACACAAACATATTAAAAAATGAATCTTAATTATATGGATCTTAGGTCTTGAAATGATTAAATGTATTAAGCCTTGTAAAATTAAAAAGATCTAATTACGAGTTCATAAAAAATACTTCCTCCGTCCCGCTATATTCGTCTATTTTTGACTTTTGGAATTGTTTATCTAAGCACTTTAACTTATCAAATTCTCTCAATGTGTTAGCCTAAATATAGTCATGTGTGATCTTGTTTAATTTGTCTTAACATATAGATTATTAATATATAATTTCTATAATTTTTAATATACAAATTACAAGATAAAATGGATTAAAGAAGTACATTGGATGGTGTGCAAAAATGAAAGTGGACAAATACTCTGGGTCGGAGGTAGTATACGAGAAGATTCAACTACGAGTTCATAAAAATATGCGGATTTTAAGACGTCGATAACATAAATCTTTAGCCTTACTCGTAGCTTTGATATTGTTTTTTTTCTTTTTGAAGGATTTTTATGCATTGCATCAATTGCATGTGGTTTTACTATTCCAACATATTTATAAGGGGTGTGAATCATAGTCTTGATCGATAGGATTCCAACTTTCCTAGTATGGATACTTAGTTCAACATAAACATCAAAGAAAAGAACATCAAAACTTGAATAAAAATATGTCTCGACAATTAAATTACCTAATTAAATCAATAAATATTCCCTTAGTCTCACTATGTTTGGGACATGAGGTAGTGACACGAAAATTAAGAAGAAATAAGATGTGAACAATACAAATATGGCAAAATGTGGTATGAAACAAAAACAATAGAATAAACATAAGGTAGAAAGGGACAATAGTGGGATGAATGAAGCGTTATCTAATTATATAAACTGTATAATTCATACTTGTAACATAAATAATAGAAGTGGGAAAATCATTTTGAGAATGATGATAAAATAATATAAGAAACCCTTTGTGGGAAAATCATTTTGAGAATGATGATAAATTAATATAAGAAACTTTTTGAGAATGATAAAATAAAATTTTAACATTCTCTTTTAAAAGTTTTCAATCTTATTACTTGGTTTATTTTTAATAGTATATTAAGTACTTTATACCATAAAAATCTTCAATTACTAACTTATACAAAGTTTAGTTAAAATATATTAAAAATAAACCAAGTAATAAGATTGAAAAATTTTAAAGGATAGAAATTTTGTGAATCATATTTTAAAAAAATATTTCTTCCATCGAAATTGGTTCTTCAGTTCTTCTCATACACTATTGACACGATCAAACTTTGTTCGCTTTGTTTGATTATTTTCACTATTCATTTCATGATATAATATAATCCTATCACATTTTTTTGTAAAAATTTTATCTAATGTTTAAATATATAATTTTACACATATAATCAAATAAATCGGATTCAAAATAAAGTTGATAAAACAACGTAAGGCGCAGTGGTTATGTCAAATGTTTCTTGTAAAACTTTTTTAATCTAGTTTTTAAATACATAATTTTTTTATAATTTTGCACATACAATCAAAGAAGATCAATTTAAAATAAAGTTGGTCAAGGGGAGTATAACATTTTCTTTTCTTGGAGATGAACCTAAAAAGAAAAAGAAGAAAAAGAATGTCTCCAAAAGTGGTATACTCCTTCCCCTCAAAAAAGAGAAAAGAAGGGATGAAAAGGTTGGAGATGAATAAAAATGGGATGTCAATTAAGCAACAGAGAATAAGATATGTTCCGCTAAAACCTTGTGCTATTCGGAGTGGAATNTTTTATAATTTTGCACATACAATCAAAGAAGATCAATTTAAAATAAAGTTGGTCAAGGGGAGTATAACATTTTCTTTTCTTGGAGATGAACCTAAAAAGAAAAAGAAGAAAAAGAATGTCTCCAAAAGTGGTATACTCCTTCCCCTCAAAAAAGAGAAAAGAAGGGATGAAAAGGTTGGAGATGAATAAAAATGGGATGTCAATTAAGCAACAGAGAATAAGATATGTTCCGCTAAAACCTTGTGCTATTCGGAGTGGAATCTAAGCAGAATACCGTTATGCACCTCTGCCCCATGGCCTCATAGTACAGGGGGAGAGAAATGCTAGTCAGAACTTGCAAATAAAAAATGACACGAACTTAACATTTGTAAATATAGATTTCTACGGAGTGCTTTTTAATGAACTGTGGGCATTTTGAACCAGTCCACAAAGGGAAAGTTGGTGACCTTGAACCTTGTAGGGATGATCATAGACAAAAACAGACCAACTATTTAAGCTAGCTAGACAGTGATTAGAATTAAGAATGCAAATTGAAAAACCAACATGAATCCCAAAGAAGCATACAAATGTAAAAACTTACACACACACACACACACACACATGGATTCCAATAGGTGGAATCTTATTTTGGGGCTAATAGTTACGTTTCATGGATGCAGACAAATGCCAATCAAACCTTAGCGGGCGACTAAACCCAGTGTTAAATAACATCTTACCAATCTCCTCGCGTAGATTCCCATGGAAAGGTGGGCCCCGAGATTCCAAAAGCCGAAAAGTATCCACAGATTGAATCCGACCATCCCCATCAAATGCAACAAGTATGTCGTCTACCCCATGGTAAGTATGGAGAATTCCAAGAGTTGTAGAGCATCCCCTGATTGGGTTTGGGCATACCAACCACCCCATATCAATGAAGTATTCATCACTAGTCTCCTCACCATCTACGGTACAAGTAACCACGACGACGTTTGAATGCTTTCCCTTGATATTGTTTTTATACCACGCAGCCAATTTATCAACAAAACATTCACTCGCCTCTGAGTATATATAAAGAACAACAATCTTGCCCTTAAGCACTTGTGCCACAGGAACCTTATCAATGGAGCCAGAATCAAGCTTGCGAAAAACATGTGTTGAAGGAAGTAACGAGTTCAGTCTCAGTCCCCTTACCCTTTGAAGTTCATTGTTGATCAACTCCCCCATGGTGAAGGGATAACCGCCGATGCCAAAGTCAAAGATGATTGGCATTCCATAGGCATCAACACACTTTTTAATAGGATCCACTATGAAAAGACTTTCCTTGCCGCTGTCAATTTCACACATTCTCCTTAGCCTATGGCACACGGTGTTGTCGAAGGGGAAATACCACCAGCCTAGCAGCTTAAAACGTGCAAGAGCATCAATGATTAACTTCTCTTGGAACTCTGGGGGCACCTGCCCATCGAAGGGAAAGCACACCACCACAATCTCAAGGTCATACCCTTTCTCCTTACATTCCTTGTAGACCTCCTGAAGCCTTCTTAAACTTGTAGCCGCAGAGCACACATAAAGCCCCACAAGCTTGCGTTTAAGTTCTGAAATAGTAATACAACCATCCTCCTTCAACCTGCCACCGGTGAGAGATTCAATGTTGTAGAGAACATCAGTGTCACTAAGGCCCAAAAGCTCATTGAGGGAGAGATCCTGCCGATCTGTATCAGGGCGTAAACAAATATCCCTTCTCCCCGGAGTAAAGTCAAAGCAATCAATTTCAGCTACTCCATACCAAAGAAACATGAAGGGCGGGCCATGGTATGTAACCTTCTGAGATGGATCAAGAACCAAAACTATAAGCTCACCATCAAAACGGAGGGCTGAGCAAATGTACTCGCGCCGATAGGAGTCAACGAAAGGGACAGCGAGGCAGGAAAAGCCCGACAAGAATTGTTGATAGGCAGAGCAGTGATGAGTGAAACCCTTCCTCATCATTGGCACCACCACCAGCACAATATCATCTCTTTTAGCAATCTCATGAGAAGCTAAAGCTGTGTGATAGACCATGGTTCCATCCTCAGAGTCCCATGTAGAAGGCGCAAACACGCAACAAATAATAACATATTTACCCTTTAGGTTTAGGGTGCTTTCCACATTAACATTCTCTTTGTCTGGTGTTGTGCTTGAGGAACAGGCCATAACAGTATTGCTTTTAACAATATCATTGACACAAATTCTGGCTCCAGGGGGTTGAACATCAGGATTACGCTTGCCCGGTGTACCAATGCTCAATTTAGACATATGTATACTATTAATACCCCTGTCCGCACCCATTTTTGGATCATGCAAGCCCACATAACTTCTGAATTGGTTGGGCTGAATACTGGGAATATTTTGGCTACTGGTGTTGAAACTCAAGAGCTTATTCCCTAGCAAATCTGAAACATTCAGTTGTTCTCCTACCGCAATAGTGGGTGCATGTGGGAAGGGGTGCCGATAAAAGGGGCGTTCGGCATCAAGATAATAGTTTAGATTATCATTTTCAGTTGGAGAGGGTGGGGGAGAGTCCCCTCCTGATTCGCACCCGGAGCAGGCATAAAGAGAGAAATTTTCGAGCCATTGCTGTCGAGACCTTGATAAATTTGGAAAGAATGCATCCAGCTTCCTCGCCGGACCTACACAGAAAAATTAAATCATACTCTATGAAATTTAATGAGATTGACTGAACTCATAAACAGTTACCCCATGATTGATCTATGATGGTTTAAATTAATAACCTGATAAAGCTTTCTTTGGCGTCGATCGGCGGCGACGCGGCGCCTTATGTTGATAAATCCACTTTCCACAACCATCATTCGTAGCTAACGGATTTTCATCACTCCATCGCACCTCCACCTCCATCCTTTTTCACTTCGTCTCAGAACCCAAATAACCCTAACCAGACCCCCCTCTCTCTACCTTAATTTTTTTTTTTTACCGGGTATATATAACACGGACAGCTCGGTTAAGAGTATATATATACATTATTATACCCACGCCGGCCCAATTATTTATTGGACTCATGTCATATGCTGTGGAATTTAGGGCCTTTACTATTTAAATATAATCTTGAGTAAATTCTATAATTAGTCTTTTATAATAGAGGATGTTTCTCTATTTAGTCCTCAATTATCAAATATTACCTCAGTGGTACTTCTTTTATATGTATCTTTCCACATTCAGTCCTTTTTTTGATCTTCTATCACGTTGGTGTTAATTTGATGGCTAAAAAAATAAATTAACAATGATAATATATCTTTTTTGTCATACACAATTCCAAAGGCTGTTCCGTTTGCATCGTTTGTGAATTACAACCACTTTCTACTACAAACATAGTCTACAAATGTGGTCTTCCGTTGGAATCCTAGTCCACAATCATAGTCATTATTTTTGTGTTATCCGCTTAACCAATATCAGAACACGCCACTAGACATAATGTTGATGTTAAATTATATATTTAGCTTTCAAATTAACACTAACATAACAGAAGATCAAAAAAAGACCATTTATGGAAAGATACATATAAAAAAAGGACCACTTGATAATATTTGATAATTGAGGACTAAATAGGTGATGGACACCGCTTTTTTGGGGCGTCGACCCGATGAAATCGGTACTGGGTCGGCACCGCACCAAATAGCGAAATCCGGATATTAAATAAATAAATAAAGTGGAGAGAAAGTATTTATACGTGGAAATAGATACATATCTCCAATTGCTATTATCTAGACTTTATCCCGACTTTTCCCCTTTGGACAGGACCTAGACCTATAGATTTGACAGACGAAGATGATCGAGATAGATATGAAAAAAAAGTCATGAGGTGCGTCGAGGTTGCTCTGGAAAAGCAAAAGATATGTTTGTTTGTGATCATCCTTCTCCAATCGCCCTTCGTTTTTTTTGAATTGTGGGTAAAAGTGATTTTTAAATTGAAATGGAAAGGAAATTGTGGGACACCTTTTTTTAAACGTCCATGAGTTTTTGGGACGAAGGGAGTATAATAAGTTTTTTATAAACTTGATTCAAATTTTAATTATGTGTATATATATATATGTGTGTATATATATATATATATATGTATATGTATATGTATATTTATATATGTATGTATATATATATATGTATGTATATATATATATACATATGTATATATATATATGTATATGTATATGTATATGTATATATATATATATATATATGTATGTATAAAGAGAGAGAAACTGAAATGTTACTAGATTTAGATTAAGTTTTATGCCTTTTGAGTTGTGAGTAGCCTCATGGGTATATATCATATTTTAAATTAATATATAAACTAAATAACTAACAAAAACAAACCATTAAGTGCATAACCCAACGGGTCAAACCCGACCCGACCCGTTCTGACCCGAAAATTTAACAGGTCTTCAGGTTCGGGTCATTTCGGGTTCGGGTCGCTAAATCAATGTTCAAAACTCGCTAATTTCAGGTCGGGTTTCGGGTTAGTAACGGGTCGGGTCAAATTTTGCCAGGTCTACTAGGCTGCCTCGGGAGACGAGGGTTAAGTGACTTGTAAGGTGAGAGAGGCCAATCTCAAGAAAAAGCTGAGTGCCTTGTGAGGTGGCTAAGGTCATTTTCAGGAGAGGGCTTAGGCTACTTCGGGAGACAAGGCGTGAAGACCGCACCAACATTTCTAGAGTTGAATATACCTCGAGGTCTTCCACTTTGTACTTGGAAAACAGAATAGAAGAAATTTCTTTGTCATTTTTTTGAACAAGATCTGTGTACGCTAAGTTGCTGATTTCAGCCATTTAATGGATTAGGGATTTTTCCTAATCCAATATTATTTGAACAATACAAGAAAGCCCAATTTTATCCGGCCCAAGATATAAATCAGATAAATTATTCGAGACAGAATTAGAGATATATGGACAGAAGAATATATTTGAAGTGATGTTAAGACATTTGGCGGGAACCGCGGAACATTATCACATGGAAACCACATGGGCTTCACATGGACAATGTTCCCATTTGTCTCCATCAATTATTCCCTTCCCCCCTTTAAATGCAAGCTACGAAGATGACGGAGGAGGGAGGCCAACTTCCTATAAGTTTTACTACTATTCTTCATTCTTTTTCTTTTAGCTTGGAGCTCCATTAATGGCTCCAAGCTCTTACAATGATGTATATGTAAATTCTCCCGAGATTAATAAAAGTTCCTACTCCCTCGACATGGCACCGCCTAAAAAGGCCCGTGGTTTTTTCCCGATTTGGGTTTCCACATATAAATACTTTCTCTCCACTTTATTTATTTATTTAATTTCTGGATTTTTCTATTCGGTGCGGTGCTGACCCGGTACCGATTTCATCAGGTCGACGCCCCGAAAAAGTGGATTCCATCACTGGCGTCGACCATGGGACCCGTCACAAAAAGCTTTTGTGCTCCGAGTCTGTAATGGAGAAAAAAAAGTGGGTTGAGAAAGTAAAAAAAGACAAAACAAAAAAGAGGGAGAGAGAGAGAGGTTGAAGGGAAAAGGGCAGAAGAGAAAAAACAAACTCCCTACTTTTCTGCATTATGTTGATTGACCGCCAAAATCTGGAGAAGCCATTTTGAGACATTGGACAACGGCGGGTCCTTTCCGGCGAGCCTTCCAGTGGGCTCACTTCTGGCGAGAAGCAGGGAGCTCCGCCTGGCCTTGGGCGACCTTGGAGAGCAGCCACCAGCAGCCCTCGACAGAGCCACCTTCTCGACGGACGGCAACGGCGGGCCTCCGGCGAGCTCCACTTCTTCCGGCAAGACACGGATAGTGGCTGTGGCCATCCAAAGAGCTCCCACTTATTCAGGCAAGCAACGGACAGCAGTGGCGGCCCTTCGACAAGCTCCCACTTCCTCTGGCGGTCCTCTCCGTCGGTCCAGTCATCCTTGACAAACCTCTCCAGCAAGCCACTCTTTTCGTCGGTCCACAACCAGGTCCAACGAGCCTCCTCCTTCCTCCGGCAAACCATGAAGAACAGCGGGATCTTCTCGGCTGATGGCGAGCTAGAGTCCGGACCACCAACGAGCCAGTGTGAGGAACAACGGGGATCTTCCTGGCGAGTAGCGAACATGCGGTACGGCTGCCAGCAGTACCCTCCACCAGGTTCAGTGAGCATCCTCCCAGACCGGCGAGCCCTCTAACGTCTTCATCTCTGGCGGTCTTCTCTGGCGGTCCTCTCCAGCGGTCCTCTCCGTGGCCCTCTCCGGCGGTCCTCTATGTGGTCCTCTCTGACGGTCCTCTAATAGTCCTCTACTCGGTCCTCTTTAGCGAGTCAGGGACGGATTTGGCCTCCAGTGGACCGCTCCATCTTCATAGGTCCCTCAAATGGACGGATTTTGGCCTCCAGTGGACCGCTCCATCTTCATAGGTCCTTCACATGGACAGATTTGGCCTCCAGTGGACCGCTCCATCTTCATAGGTCCTTCACATGGACAGATTTGGCCTCTAGTGGACCGCTCCACCTTCATAGGTCCTTCACATGGACGGATTTGGCCTCCAGTGGACCGCTCCACCTTCATAGGTCCTTCACATGGACAGATTTGGCCTCAGTGGACCGCTCCATCTTCATAGGTCCTTCACATGGACGGATTTGGCGTTTAGCGGACCGCTCCAACTTCATGGATCTTTCACATGGACGGATTTGGCCACAAGTGGACCGCTCCAACTTCATGGATCCTTCAAATGGACGGATTTGGCCTCCAGTGAACCGCTCCATCTTCATAACGGATTTGCCCTCTAGTGGACCGCTCCAACTTCATGGGTCCCTCAAATGGACAGATCAAGCCTTAAGTGGTCCGTTCCGAGTTGTATAATTTGATAAAAGTAATAATGTAAAAGAATATAAAGCAGAAGACAGTAATTAGATCAAGTTAAGTGATCAAATTACTGGAGATAGTCATAGACTCCCTGTAACGCCTCGAAACCCGGCCTATCAGAATTAATTAATTGGAAATAATTAATTAATAACTGAGACGGACCTGGTGGGAATTAAATATACCTTTCGTTTAATATTTAAAATTATACCGTTATGTAGGGTTCGGCGGATCGAATCTGCCGGTGAAATCGGATTCGAATTTGGACTTAGTGGGGCCGGAAAATGCATTTGGGCCAGGTATGTTTAGTTAATACAGAGCCCAAAACCCCAAAAGTATAAATACACCCCTCACACGCCCTAAACCCCTACGCCTCACCACATTCACGTAACCTCCTCCCCACTCTCTCACGTCTCTCATTTCTCTCGATCAAGGCAACAGCGACGCACGAAGGAGAAGAAGAGAAGAAGGAGAAGAAGAGAAGAAGAGAGGAAAGAAGAAGAGTCTCGATCAGTCCCAAGTTGTGTTTTGGATTATGAATTTGGCTTCCGCAACCGTTTGGATTTACTCTGATGGATAATTAAGTACTGTTTTGAATTCAAATGTTTTAAATTATTTTGAAAATTAATGCGTATGACTACCAATTTAGTAGCAACCCGGTTCGCTTACCCATTTATTCGGGTTATGCGGGTTGGGGTGTTACATTTTGGTATCAGAGCAACCCTGCGACCGTGACAGGCCAGAAGGGCCTAGTTCACCTAGCGGGGAAGATCTAAGGGTTTAAAAAAAAAGGATGCAACGAGGACGTTGCATTCCTAAGTGGGGGTGAATGTAATACCCCGTATCAAGATGGGAATGGGAAGAGCTCAAAAGGATTGATAGTACTACTCATACCAACAAGGTGCATCTTCTTTTCGAGAGCTCATCACCTAGAAACTCCAAAGTTAAGCGTGCTTGACTTGGAGCAATTTTAGGATGGGTGACCCCTTGGGAAGTTTTCCTTGGGCGCGCACGAGTGAGGACAAAGTGCGCGGGAAAGACGTGTGTTGGTTTGTGGGCCAGTCTACAATCCTATGAGCGGACACTTACGGCCAGGGTGGGGGCCGGGGTGTTACAAATGGTATCGGAGCAATTGGTTTTAAAACCGATCTTCGGATCACAAATAAATGGTTTCCAAAAGCTGCACCACATCTCTTGCGACTCATCAACCCCGGGAAGGTAATAAGTTTATACCCTTGATTGTTTTGTGTTAATAACTGACTAGGTATTTATGTGTAGATTTAGAATGAGTAACGCATCGACACACGCTCATGACAACACCCAGCAAGTGGGTGGTGATCACAACGATGCCGAGACGGAGGCATCCAGCTTCGTGCCTCAGCAGAATGCTGGGCAGCCCAATGTGCCTCTGAACGCGGGGGAAAACCAGAATTTTGGGAACCCGCCTGAGAATGTCATGCCCGCCTTCATGACGCAATTCCTGCAGCAGATGGCCAACGCGCCGATGTTCCAGCAGCCTCAGCCACCGCGGCGACACATCACCTTCAAAACGCTGAAGGACAACGGAGCGGAGGAGTTCCTTGGAGATAGAGTGGCTGAACCTCAAGTGGCTCTGGATTGGATCGAACAGGTGGCTAGGGTGCTCAACGACCTGGATGTTCCGGTTGTGGATCATCCAAAGTTGGCATCCCAGCTACTCCGCAAGGGAGCGTACGAGTGGTGGAAGCGCGTCGACAGCGAGCCGCAGACGCCGAAGCCCTGGACATGGGCATATTTTGACTGGGCTTTCAAGAAGGAGTATATCCCAGCTTGCTTCCGAGAGGAGAAGCGATCAGAGTTCATGGAGTTGGTACAGGGGGACATGACCCTTGCCGAGCTACGACAGAAGTTTGATCATTTGGCTCAGTTTGCACCCACGTTGGTGTCAACACCTGCGGATAGAATTGAAGAGTTCAGGAAGAGGTTGCGCCCTGATGTGCGACCTTATGTTTCTACCGTGGTCACCACCGATTTCTCAGCGGCTTACGACCTGATGGCTAAGGCGGAGAAAGCAGTGGATGACCTGAAGGCAAGCTTGGGTGCTGGATGGACCGCTACTTGTCAACGACCCTCTACCAGCGCGGCACCGAGCGGGAAGAGATCCTTTGGCGGTACTAAAGGTACCCAAAACTTCAAGAAGACCAAATCTGCACCGGCTCAGTCACAGGCAGCGAGCAATCGAAGCAAACCTTCCAAGTATCCGGTGTGCAATCAGTGTGGGAAAAAGCACCCTGGTGAATGCTGGTTCGCGCAGGGCTTATGTATGGGATGCGGAAAGGAGGAACATTTCCGTAAGGACTGCCCAACTAACCCCGGGCGTGCCTTCCCCGTAACCGAGACGCAGACACCGACAGCGAGTCAGAGGTCAGCGCAGAGCCAGAGGTCTACCGCGGGCTCAAACCCGCCGAGAGGACAGAACCAGAACCAGAACCGCCAGCAGGGACATGCGCCTGCACGCACTTACGCCATGCACGGACGTACTGAGGTGAACCGCGACGTCATCTTGGGTATGTTTTCACTATTCGACACTCCTATGCTTGCATTAATTGACCCAGGATCTACGTTATCTTACATATGTGTCCCTATGCCTGAGAAATCTGATATCCAGAGGGGTGATCTGGAATACCCTATGGTAGTGTCTAATCCGTTAGGGCATAGCATGCGACTTCATCATCTGTACCGCAACTGTCCGTTGACGGCCCACGGACACCGGTTGTCCGCAAATCTGATCGAGTTACCGTACAAGGAATTTGATATTATCCTTGGTATGGATTGGTTGACTGAGCGTCAAGCGATATTTGACTGTGGTTTGCGCACTGTACGGCTGAAGACTGACGATGGTGATGTGGTAGAAGTCAAGGGAGAGTTGTTCCCTAAGCCTCCAGAATTTATGTCTTACATGCAAGCGAAGCGGTTGATTCGGAAGAAATGTGAGGCATTCTTGTTCCACGTTCGAGACACTAGGAAGGAGATCCCCGAACAGAAGGATATCCCTACAGTGTGTGACTTTCCCGATGTGTTTCCCGACGATCTCCCTGGCCTGCCACCGCCAAGGGAAGTGGAGTTTTCGATTGATCTGGTTCCTGGGACGGAGCCAATCTCTGCTACGCCATACCGCATGGCACCGGCGGAGATGAAGGAGCTCAAGGCTCAGTTGCAAGAACTACTAGACAAGGGATTCATCAGGCCGAGTGTGTCCCCGTGGGGAGCACCAGTTCTCTTTGTCAAGAAGAAAGATGGGTCCATGAGGTTGTGTATTGACTACTGGCAGTTGAACAAGGCTACAGTCAAAAACTGCTATCCGTTACCGCGGATTGACGATTTGTTTGATCAGCTCAGAGGAGCTACAGTATTCTCGAAGATAGACCTTCGGTCAGGGTATCATCAGATTCCCGTGAAGAAGGAAGACATACCGAGGACGGCCTTCCGAACGCGCTATGGGCATTATGAGTTCACGGTGATGCCGTTCGGGCTGACGAATGCCCCGGCGATCTTCATGGATTTGATGAACAGCGTCTTCCGTCCTTACCTAAACCAGTTCGTAGTAGTGTTCATCGACGACATCTTGGTGTACTCCAGGACACCAGAAGAGCATGCGAAACACTTGCAGACAGTACTTGGTGTGCTAAGGGAACACAAGTTGTACGCCAAGCTGTCAAAGTGTGAGTTTTGGCTCGATGAGGTCACGTTCCTTGGGCATGTGATCTCCCACGAGGGCATCAAGGTGGACCCTAGCAAAATATCAGCTATAACGGAGTGGAAGATTCCGAGGAATGCGCGAGAGGTGAGGAGCTTCCTTGGCTTGGCTGGTTACTACCGGCGCTTTGTGGAGGGCTTCTCGTCCATAGCGTCACCGCTCAACAGGCTACTGAAGAAGGAGGTGAAATTCGCGTGGACAGACGCGTGCCAACAGAGTTTTGAGAGACTCAAGAAGTGCTTGACGGAAGCACTGGTGCTGGTGCAACCAGTGCCTGGCAAGGATTACACAGTTTTCAGCGACGCATCGCATAGTGGACTTGGCTGTGTTCTTATGCAGGAGGGTAAGGTTGTGGCTTACGCCTCTCGACAGTTGAAACCTCACGAGAGTAATTATCCGACGCATGATTTGGAGTTGGCAGCAGTGGTGTTCGCATTGAAGATTTGGCGACACTATCTATTTGGTGAGACTACTTACATCCACACGGATCACAAGAGTTTGAAGTACTTGCTAACACAGAAAGAGCTGAATTTGAGGCAACGGAGGTGGTTGGAGTTGATCAAGGATTACGACTGCTATATCGACTACCACCCAGGCAAGGCCAACGTTGTGGCTGACGCCTTGAGTCGGAAGACTATGGCTGAGTTACGACTTCAGCCGACATTGGAAAGTGAGATTCGAACAGCCCAGGCCACAGATGACTTTTGTGTGAAGACTTGTGGGCTTGTCTCCAAGGGGGAGAGACAAGACTTCACCATTGATGACAATGGAGGGCTGCTCTTTAAGGATCGCTTGGTGGTACCAAACGGTGAAGTGAGAGAACGGCTGCTACGGGAAGCTCACGGAACCGTGTACACCATGCACCCTGGCAGCAATAAGATGTACCAAGACCTCAAGAGGACTTACTGGTGGCCGACGATGAAGCGAGAGATTTCGGAGTTTACGGCTAAGTGCCTGACCTGTCAGCAGGTCAAGGCGGAGCATCAGGTGCCAAGTGGGCTGCTACACCCGCCAGCTATTCCGGAGTGGAAGTGGGAGAGAATCACGATGGACTTTGTGATAGGGCTACCCCTGTCAAATAAGAAGAATGATGCAGTATGGGTCATTGTGGATCGACTGACTAAATCAGCTCACTTCCTCCCGGTTAGACGAGACTTTACCTTGCAGAAGCTAGCTGAACTATATATTCGTGAGATTGTGAGACTTCACGGAGTGCCAGTGTCTATCATCTCGGATCGAGATCCGCGTTTCACATCACAGTTTTGGAAGAGCCTTCAGAAGGCCTTGGGCACTAAGCTCAACTTCAGCACAACATTCCATCCCCAGACAGATGGCCAGTCGGAGAGGACGATTCAGATTTTGGAAGACATGATGAGAGCCTGTGTCATCGATTTCGGTGACGGTTGGGAACAGTACGTGCCGTTGATGGAGTTTGCCTATAACAACAGTTACCAGGCTAGCATACAGATGGCCCCGTACGAGGCACTGTATGGCCGGCGTTGTAGGACTCCAGTCTGTTGGACCGAATTGAGTGAAACCAAGCTGGAGGGACCTGACCTGATTCGTGAGGCAGAAGAGAAGGTCTGCATTATACGAGATAGATTACGAGCTGCCTCGGATCGTCAGAAGTCATACGCTGATCTCAAGCGTAAGGAGATAGAGTATAACATAGATGATTGGGTGTTTCTCAAGGTATCTCCGTGGAAGAAAGTGTTGAGGTTTGGCAAGAAAGGAAAGCTGAGTCCTAGGTTCATTGGACCGTACCGAGTCATTGAACGCGTAGGACCAGTGGCTTATCGTTTGGAGTTACCCTCAGAACTACAGAAGATCCACGATGTGTTTCATGTGTCTATGCTGAGGAGATATCGATCTGACCCGTCACACATCCTACCTGAGGGAGCAGTCACCCTCGATGAGAGTCTTACCTATGAAGAAGAACCCGTACAGGTCTTGGCACGCGAAGTAAAGGAACTGAGGAACAAGACAGTTCCCTTGGTCAAGGTGCTTTGGCGGAACCACGCAGTGGAAGAAGCAACCTGGGAGACCGAGGAATCCATGAGAACCCAGTATCCTCAACTCTTTAGTGACCAATGACTCAGGTAATTTCGAGGACGAAATTCTTTTAAGGGGTAGAGAAATGTAACGCCCCGAAACCCGGCCTATCTGAATTAATTAATTGGAAATAATTAATTAATAACTGAGACGGACCTGGTGGGAATTAAATATACCTTTCGCTTAATATTTAAAATTATACCGTTATGTAGGGTTCGGCGGATCGAATCTGCCGGTGAAATCGGATTCGAATTTGGACTTAGTGGGGCCGGAAAATGCATTTGGGCCAGGTATGTTTAGTTAATACGGAGCCCAAAACCCCAAAAGTATAAATACACCCCTCACACGCCCTAAACCCCTACGCCTCACCACATTCACGTAACCTCCTCCCCACTCTCTCACGTCTCTCATTTCTCTCGATCAAGGCAACAGCGACGCACGAAGGAGAAGAAGAGAAGAAGGAGAAGAAGAGAAGAAGAGAGGAAAGAAGAAGAGTCCGACGCCGTCGTTCGTGAGTACCATATCGTAGTGTAATCGTCGAATTCAAGGTGAGAACGTGGTCATCTAACGTATGGATTATATTCGTAGGTTTGAATCTTACGTTCGTAGAACCGTTACGGTTGATTTATGTGGATTCTACGTGAGTTAGGTTTTGTGCATGTTGGTTATGGTTTGGAAAACATGAGTTGTGTTGGAATGGTTGAGAATAGGCTATGAAATGCTAGGTTAATGTTTTATGATCTATTATGCTTGTTATCACTGTATGGGTGCTGCCAAAGAGACAAGAAACGGAGGTGGTGCAGGTCTGGTGTTCGCCGCGACAGACGGTAGGGGGGTGTCGTTGACACGGTACCCAGCTACCGCCAGCTTTCCGGGTTTCGTTCTTCTCTGGCGGTACCTACTTAGGACGGGACCCAGGTGCCGTGTGACGGTAGACCCTACCGTTAGGGGCTACCGTGACGGGCTACCGGAGGGATCCCAACTGACATGGACGGTACCCCGTACCGTGGGAGACGGTACCCTGGTGCCGTGGGGTCGGTAACCCCTACCGCCAAGGGGTACCGTGAGGTACCTGTACCGGGCCGAATTTTGTTGTTTGCGTCGAGGATCGATTCCGAGACCTTGTGTGTTGCATGACGGTAAACATGGGTGTCTACACCCAGTGTTAGGCCGCTATTTGATTATGTTGGGTATCTTGTTAAACGGATTGTGGATTTATGAATGTTGTATTATGTATTGATTAATGAATGTTGGATATGCTGCCTAGAAGAACTCTAGGAAATGACCTGAATGGATTAGTGGCAAGGTATGCCATAAGTACAGCTAGTTAGAGCCATGTGGTACCTGCTGGGTCCAATGGTTGTCCGGGTAAAAACGTGTACACGGGGATCTAAGAACTGTCGTTCCGAAGGGGACAGGGATCTCACCCACCCAACGAGGAACTCCCGAGTTGGTTGAGCTTGACCTTCGTTTCGAAGGGGAAGGTCATGACTCCATAGGCAAGTTTTAATCAGTTGAGCCTTTACCTAGTCTAGGTTGAAGCCGAGAACTGAAAAGAGCATAGAGCTGAGGAAAGTTGAGGAGTTATCATGGTGTTCTTGTGACTTGTTATTCCTTAATGTTGATGTTTAATACAACTGTTATATTCTGTATGTTATGCAAATTTGATGAGCATGTTGTGTGCATGATATCGTATGGTGATATGGGCTAGTGGGATCGCCTATGGGTATAGCTGTATGTTAGATATATCTCACTTAGCTTCAATGCTGAGCGTGTAGCCTTTTTCCTGTTTGCTACACGTAGGTAATCCAGGAAATGATGAGCTTGGAGCCAATCCCGGAGGGCGTTGAGGAGGCTGAGATGTGCGTGGCAGTGTTCGACGATTTTGAACTCTTATTTATTTCTTGAATTAACTTATTACTATTTCGGACATGATTCCCAAGTTGTGTTTTGGATTATTAATTTGGCTTCCGCAACCGTTTGGATTTACTCTGATGGATAATTAAGTACTGTTTTGAATTTAAATGTTTTAAATTATTTTGAAAATTAATGCGTATGACTACCAATTTAGTAGCAACCCGGTTCGCTTACCCATTTATTCGGGTTATGCGGGTTGGGGTGTTACACTCCCGTACCGAGATTGGGGAAAGATAGGAAAAGGAAAAGGGTTGGGCCTTAAGGATGGGCTGAAGCCCAGCCCATTAAGAACAAGCTACCCAGAAAGAAAGAATCCTATGAAAGAGATTAGAGTAGGCCCTCCCTCAATTGGAGGGATAGGGACGAAGAGAAAGGTGGACAGAGATTGTCTATAATTCAATAAGAGCGGAGCGCCCAACCACCGTCAAATAGATATCAAGTGAGGGTTTAGAGGCTCCCAAAGAATATTGAAAAAAGAGCCCCGAGCAAAGTCTTCTTCCCAGAGGCAACGAACCCCCGAGAGAAGTCTTGTCCCAAGAGGTACCGAGCTCTGAGAAAAGTCCTCTTCCCCGAGGCACCAAGTCCTCTTTCAAAGAGGCGCCAAGTCCCAAGAAAGTCCTTTTCGAAGGGGCCCAAATCCCCGAGAAAAGTCCTCTTCCAAGAGGCACCGAGTCCTCTTCCCGAGGAACTAAAAAAAAAAAGTCGTCTTTCTAGAGGCACAAAGACCCGATAAAGTCCTCTTCTAAAGAGGCACAAAGTCCCGAGAAAGTCCTCTTCCAAAGAGGCACAAAGTCCCGATAAAGTCCTCTTTTAAAGAGGCACAAAGTCCCGAGAAAGTCCTCTTCCAAAGAGGCACAAAGTCCCGAGAAAGTCCTCTTCCAAAGAGGCACAAAGCCTGAGAAAGTCCTCTTCCAAGAGGCACAAATCCCTGAGAAAAATCATCTTCCAAAAGACACAAATCCCTAAGAAAGTCTTCCTTCAAGAGACACCAATTATCTGAGAAAAGTCCTCTTTCAAGAGACACTAAGTTAAATCCTTGCCCACGAGGTAACGAGATCCTCCAAAAAAGAAAGTCCTCTTTCTGAGGTACCAAGAAAAGTTTTATCCCATGAGGCAACCCACCGAGTCATATAATTTCGAATCTGTCTCGTTCCCCGAGACAGACTCAAAACTAGGAGGCATGTGATGGATTAGGGATTTTTCCTAATCCAATATTATTTGAACAGTACAAGAAAGCCCAATTTTATCTGGCCCAAGATATAAATTAGACAAATTATTCGAGACAGAATTAGAGATATATGGACAGAAAAATATATTTGAAATGATGTGAAGACATTTGGCGCGACTCGCGGAACATTATCACATGGAAACCACATGGGCTTCACATGGACAATGTTCCCATCAATTATTCACTTCCCCCCTTTAAATGCAAGCTACGAAGATGACGGAGGAGAGAGGCCAACTTCCTATAAGTTTTACTACTATTCTTCATTCTTTTTCTTTTAGCTTGGAGCTCCATTAATGGCTCCAAGCTCCTACAATGATCATATATATATATATATATAAAGTTGGGTTAATCGCTTGTGGGGTTGACACCTGGCTTCTTAGATGGCTTTCCAAAGGTTGGTCTTCTCGAGCGTTACAACTTGGGGAATAAGTGAATAACACAGCTCATACGCTGAACCTGGGTTGAATTTCCGTTCACCACTAATTTGCTTCTTCATCTTCCCGTTTGGAAGCACCGTATCCTCAATTCAACCCTTTCAATTTCCATTCTAGCTCCTCATTGGCGCTCATTCACCCTTCTTCCTTGCGTTCTACTTTATGTGACAGGTATTCTTTTGCCCTCAATTTTTAAATATGTTGATTTATAGATCATTATAACTTCACTTTCTTGAGAATATCTGGTACTTGGATAAAGTTTTATATTCTGATGACAGTGGTTTGTGAAATGCTCCTTAGATAAAATTTAACTGATTTGTATCCTTATGGAGGCTCTATGCATATGGTTTCTCTTATAATCAACTCGAGAAGATGACATGGATATAATTTCAGCACATGGTCACTGAAGGTGTTGAGTTTTGATTTGATTTTTAGTTAATTAATATGGTCATCCACTTGCTCGACCAAAAGATTGTGAAGATTTATGGCCTAAGAATGACAGATATGTTTCTGTGAAGCTAGGTTTGCCTCATTTGATTCCTCTTGAACTTCTTGACCATTTTAAGGACAAAGCATAAGTAGTCTTTTTAACAATAAAAAATGTATTAATCACTTATTGTCAAAGAAAGATATATAGGCGTACTTCTCATTTTATCCGATGAAGGTCGGTGAAAGGGTCTTAAGAAAAATCTAGATCCACACCCTCCCAATTTGTTGACTTATATTGTTTCTAGGGAAGACACATATTAATATGTGTATCCTCACTGTAAATTGACTCTTCTAAGGGTATAGCTTTTTAAGTCTAAAGCATCTGTTATGTTGTATCCATTAGGACTTTATCATTATTTTAATTCTAATTTGTAGTCACTACCCTTCTTTTTTTCAAACTGCAGGAACAAACAACACCTCCTTATTTATATAATAGTGCTTGAAAGCACCTACTTCAACAGTTAAAATAAGGTTTTAAAAACAATAACTTTTATTATCTAAATCATCAAAATGTATGCACATTTTATTCCTGTAATATTAGTATGAGAAATAAAAATAATACTACATATTTGTTTGAGGTGCTTGCGAGGACTATATGTATCTAGAAGACAACTGAATGATTCCCCTTCTCTTTAATAGTTCATACTCCCTCCGTTTGGAAAAACACTTTCCATTTGGATTTGGGGAAAAAATAAGGAAGTGTTAAATTATAGTTGATTTCCAATTTTGTCCCTGATGTGATGGGTAAAAGTAAGATGTGATGGATAGATTATTAGAGAAAAAGTATGATGTGATAGGTAGGGTATGAAAAAGTAAGGGTAAAAGTGGTTTTTTAATTGAAAAGGGAAGTGTTTTGTTGGAAGTGGAAAAAATAAAAGAGGAAGTGTTTTTGAGAACGGAGGGAGTAACTTTTAGTGGAAAGGAAACCATTTGGCTTGGTTTTTGAACAGACTGATGTCATTGACCCTTATTTCTAAGTGTTGAATCCATATTTGAGTGACTGACCAGCTCTGAAGAAGTATTTTTATTAAATACAGATTACCATTTTGATCAACTAAAACTCTAGATTTGTTCTTCATTTCACTTTTTATTCAAAATCCTAAAAAATGGACAAACTTTTTCTTATTCATGAAATTATAACATGTCATGCATTAAATATGAAGTATTACATCATTTCTGGCAGCATTTCTATCAATTCATTTGCAATAACTTATGTTACATTGACTATTATAGTCGCTCTTCATTGTTGTTGTCCAAACCTGGACTCTCTTTTTTACACATCTTTACCAACTTCATTCATTTTTCTCTACAGGCTCTTTAAGATTGGCTGATGAGGTTGAATACAACATCAAAAACTTGACTGTCAAGAACAAAAGCAAGGTAGTGAAATACCTAAAGTTGCCACCTTTAAATTCCTAAATTAATCATAGACGAAATTTTATACTCTTTTATTTGGGTATTTTTTTATAACTGGGTAATCAGGTTTGCAAAGTTAGTTTCTTGATTGATTTCAGTTTTAGTGTTCCAATTTTTAGATGTATATATAAGTGTTTGCCACATTTACTTGACAGGCACGCATTTTAAATTAGTCACATTTACTAATTATATGATTTAAAACTGAGGTGCATTTTTAACATCTCAGAATTTTTTTAATTACCATTGATACTCATGCATTTGCCTGACATGAAGATTTTGGCCATTGAAATTGATGTTATTGGTTTGATAAATGCTGGATTTCAATGACACTGGGTTATGCTAGATAGGATTAATGCAGGATCTGGATGCTAATTTCATGTCTTCAAACAGGATAATGACTTTGGTTTTAAGGTACGATTTGGTTAAAACTAGTTTCAGATTCGGGTTATGGATTACGCCGAATGTAAGAAATTCATGTGTATTTGATGATGAGATTCAAAAAATTGTTATCAATATGTCATTTACCTATAATGTCCCGTACAAAAATCAAAGAGAAAATCAAGAATCTATTATTAATAGTTATTGTATTACATTGGAAAAAGTAGTCCTATATTACCAATGGAGAATAGTTACTTAATTCAGACAAAAAAATTATTAAAATTTTTGTGGTAGATGTTACTCCGTGTATTCCTATTGTTACAAAGTATTTAACCATGAATTGCTCCAAGATGCATATTTTATACTTTAAAGGAGTTATCCGTCTTGATTGACAATTTTATCTGCCATTTGTATGCATTTCGTAGTGTATTTCGTGTCAATTTACGGAGTAACTTATTGCAAAAACGTGTATAGGTGTTTCAAAGCAACACTTTTTTTTGAAGAGTTTATTTTAGAATCTCAGAAAAATAATGAGGTTTGAGATTTTTAATTTTATGCAAATAATTATTTACATTTACTTGGGCCACGTTTTATCCCCCACTCCCCATGAACCCTTGCCTCACTATGAAGCGTGTATAAAATTTTCAAATACACCTTCCGAAAACATTGAAATATGGTTCCACATCTGAGAACACGCGAATGCACCCAAAAATGATTTACCAAGTAAAAGTGACATACAACCGTCTTTGTTGATTTTGCTCATATACAAATGGAGTGGGAGACTAGAAATGAATTTTATAGAACATAATTTTTGCCTTACACTATCATGGTTACAATGTGTTTTGATTTATTAACTATTGCTTAGACAAAACTAATTTCACATCCTAAAAATAAATTTCCAAACACAACGACAAAGGCTAACACTAGAATACAACCCCAGCCCGTGCGAAGCACGGGGTAGAAAACTAGTGTATATGTAAATTCCCCCCGAGATTAGTAAAAGTTCCTACCCCCCTTGGCATGGCACCGCCTAAAAAGGCCCGTGGTTTTCTACCGATTTGGGTTTCCACGTATAAATACTTTCTCTCCACTTTATTTATTTATTTAATATCCGGATTTCGCTATTTGGTGCGGTGCCGACCCAGTACCGATTTCATCGGGTCGACGCCCCAAAAAAGCGGTGTCCATCACCTATTTAGTCCTCAATTATCAAATATTATCAAGTGGTCCTTTTTTTATATGTATCTTTCCATAAATGGTCTTTTTTTGATCTTCTGTTATGTTAGTGTTAATTTGAAAGCTAAATATATAATTTAACATCAACATTATGTCTAGTGGCGTGTTCTGATATTGGTTAAGCGGATAACACAAAAATAATGACTATGATTGTGGACTAGGATTCCAACGGAAGACCACATTTGTAGACTATGTTTGTAGTAGAAAGTGGTTGTAATTCACAAACGATGCAAACGGAACAGCCTTTGGAATTGTGTATGACAAAAAAGATATATTATCATTGTTAATTTATTTTTTTAGCCATCAAATTAACACCAACGTGATAGAAGATCAAAAAAAGGACTGAATGTGGAAAGATACATATAAAAGAAGTACCACTGAGGTAATATTTGATAATTGAGGACTAAATAGAGAAACATCCTCTATTATAAAAGACTAATTATAGAATTTACTCAAGATTATATTTAAATAGTAAAGGCCCTAAATTCCACAGCATATGACATGAGTCCAATAAATAATTGGGCCGGCGTGGGTATAATAATGTATATATATACTCTTAACCGAGCTGTCCGTGTTATATATACCCGGTAAAAAAAAAAAATTAAGGTAGAGAGAGGGGGGTCTGGTTAGGGTTATTTGGGTTCTGAGACGAAGTGAAAAAGGATGGAGGTGGAGGTGCGATGGAGTGATGAAAATCCGTTAGCTACGAATGATGGTTGTGGAAAGTGGATTTATCAACATAAGGCGCCGCGTCGCCGCCGATCGACGCCAAAGAAAGCTTTATCAGGTTATTAATTTAAACCATCATAGATCAATCATGGGGTAACTGTTTATGAGTTCAGTCAATCTCATTAAATTTCATAGAGTATGATTTAATTTTTCTGTGTAGGTCCGGCGAGGAAGCTGGATGCATTCTTTCCAAATTTATCAAGGTCTCGACAGCAATGGCTCGAAAATTTCTCTCTTTATGCCTGCTCCGGGTGCGAATCAGGAGGGGACTCTCCCCCACCCTCTCCAACTGAAAATGATAATCTAAACTATTATCTTGATGCCGAACGCCCCTTTTATCGGCACCCCTTCCCACATGCACCCACTATTGCGGTAGGAGAACAACTGAATGTTTCAGATTTGCTAGGGAATAAGCTCTTGAGTTTCAACACCAGTAGCCAAAATATTCCCAGTATTCAGCCCAACCAATTCAGAAGTTATGTGGGCTTGCATGATCCAAAAATGGGTGCGGACAGGGGTATTAATAGTATACATATGTCTAAATTGAGCATTGGTACACCGGGCAAGCGTAATCCTGATGTTCAACCCCCTGGAGCCAGAATTTGTGTCAATGATATTGTTAAAAGCAATACTGTTATGGCCTGTTCCTCAAGCACAACACCAGACAAAGAGAATGTTAATGTGGAAAGCACCCTAAACCTAAAGGGTAAATATGTTATTATTTGTTGCGTGTTTGCGCCTTCTACATGGGACTCTGAGGATGGAACCATGGTCTATCACACAGCTTTAGCTTCTCATGAGATTGCTAAAAGAGATGATATTGTGCTGGTGGTGGTGCCAATGATGAGGAAGGGTTTCACTCATCACTGCTCTGCCTATCAACAATTCTTGTCGGGCTTTTCCTGCCTCGCTGTCCCTTTCGTTGACTCCTATCGGCGCGAGTACATTTGCTCAGCCCTCCGTTTTGATGGTGAGCTTATAGTTTTGGTTCTTGATCCATCTCAGAAGGTTACATACCATGGCCCGCCCTTCATGTTTCTTTGGTATGGAGTAGCTGAAATTGATTGCTTTGACTTTACTCCGGGGAGAAGGGATATTTGTTTACGCCCTGATACAGATCGGCAGGATCTCTCCCTCAATGAGCTTTTGGGCCTTAGTGACACTGATGTTCTCTACAACATTGAATCTCTCACCGGTGGCAGGTTGAAGGAGGATGGTTGTATTACTATTTCAGAACTTAAACGCAAGCTTGTGGGGCTTTATGTGTGCTCTGCGGCTACAAGTTTAAGAAGGCTTCAGGAGGTCTACAAGGAATGTAAGGAGAAAGGGTATGACCTTGAGATTGTGGTGGTGTGCTTTCCCTTCGATGGGCAGGTGCCCCCAGAGTTCCAAGAGAAGTTAATCATTGATGCTCTTGCACGTTTTAAGCTGCTAGGCTGGTGGTATTTCCCCTTCGACAACACCGTGTGCCATAGGCTAAGGAGAATGTGTGAAATTGACAGCGGCAAGGAAAGTCTTTTCATAGTGGATCCTATTAAAAAGTGTGTTGATGCCTATGGAATGCCAATCATCTTTGACTTTGGCATCGGCGGTTATCCCTTCACCATGGGGGAGTTGATCAACAATGAACTTCAAAGGGTAAGGGGACTGAGACTGAACTCGTTACTTCCTTCAACACATGTTTTTCGCAAGCTTGATTCTGGCTCCATTGATAAGGTTCCTGTGGCACAAGTGCTTAAGGGCAAGATTGTTGTTCTTTATATATACTCAGAGGCGAGTGAATGTTTTGTTGATAAATTGGCTGCGTGGTATAAAAACAATATCAAGGGAAAGCATTCAAACGTCGTCGTGGTTACTTGTACCGTAGATGGTGAGGAGACTAGTGATGAATACTTCATTGATATGGGGTGGTTGGTATGCCCAAACCCAATCAGGGGATGCTCTACAACTCTTGGAATTCTCCATACTTACCATGGGGTAGACGACATACTTGTTGCATTTGATGGGGATGGTCGGATTCAATCTGTGGATACTTTTCGGCTTTTGGAATCTCGGGGCCCACCTTTCCATGGGAATCTACGCGAGGAGATTGGTAAGATGTTATTTAACACTGGGTTTAGTCGCCCGCTAAGGTTTGATTGGCATTTGTCTGCATCCATGAAACGTAACTATTAGCCCCAAAATAAGATTCCACCTATTGGAATCCATGTGTGTGTGTGTGTGTGTGTGTAAGTTTTTACATTTGTATGCTTCTTTGGGATTCATGTTGGTTTTTCAATTTGCATTCTTAATTCTAATCACTGTCTAGCTAGCTTAAATAGTTGGTCTGTTTTTGTCTATGATCATCCCTACAAGGTTCAAGGTCACCAACTTTCCCTTTGTGGACTGGTTCAAAATGCCCACAGTTCATTAAAAAGCACTCCGTAGAAATCTATATTTACAAATGTTAAGTTCGTGTCATTTTTTATTTGCAAGTTCTGACTAGCATTTCTCTCCCCCTGTACTATGAGGCCATGGGGCAGAGGTGCATAACGGTATTCTGCTTAGATTCCACTCCGAATAGCACAAGGTTTTAGCGGAACATATCTTATTCTCTGTTGCTTAATTGACATCCCATTTTTATTCATCTCCAACCTTTTCATCCCTTCTTTTCTCTTTTTTGAGGGGAAGGAGTATACCACTTTTGGAGACATTCTTTTTCTTCTTTTTCTTTTTAGGTTCATCTCCAAGAAAAGAAAATGTTATACTCCCCTTGACCAACTTTATTTTAAATTGATCTTCTTTGATTGTATGTGCAAAATTATAAAATAAAACTTTGTATTTAAAATCTATATTAAAAAAGTTTTACAAAAAACACTTGAGGGGGGCTGGGGTGGGGGGGCAAGGGTGGGGCTGGGGTAGGGGGTTTAGGTGGGTAGGAACCGTCGTTTTTATAAACAGAGCACCGTAGGTTTCCCAAATGGACTGGTGTAAGCAAATGACACCAGTAGCACTGTTGTTATTTTAGACTTACTGTTAAAAAAATAACACTAATAATAAAATAAATAGTTATTTGTTCTAAAATTATGAGAGAGAAAAAGAAACATAAAAGGCGTCAATTTATTCCTGTAAAAACAAAAAACACTTTATTATTTTATTTTTTGTGTCTCATGAATTTTTTTTACTTTTCTAATTTTTTTATTTTATAAAACTAGAATATAGAACTTTTATACTCCTTTCGTCCCAATTTAAATCGTCTTTTTTGACTTTTGAACATATTTAAGAAAAATAAAAAATAAAATTGATTTTTCAAAAATGACATTACTTTTTAAGATGGGTAATGATGAATGA